ATGACGTAATGGTTTTCTTTGATGGTAGTAGTTCCTCCCTGCATGGTATCTATGAGGCTCTGGATGACTTCGCAGGCTGATCAGGACTTACAATGAACAGAAATAAGACTACTCTCTTCCATGCTGGTTTATATCCATTGGAGGAGTCAGCGATTGCTCAATATGATTTCCCCATTGGCACGCTGCCCGTAAGGTACTTAGGACTTCCCTTAATGTCCAGAAAGCTCACCATTGCTGAATACTCACCTTTGCTTGAGAAAATCACTAACAAGCTGAGAGGATGGGCAACTAAGTCACTTTCTTATGCGGGGAGAACCCAGCTCATTGCCAGTGTGATATACGGAACTATTAACTTTTGGATATCCACCTTTACGCTTCCCAAGGGTTGTATAAAGCGAATTGAGTCTCTATGTGCTAGATTCCTCTGGTCTGGGAGCACTGACTGTCACACCAAAGCAAAGGTTGCATGGTCTTCTGTCTGTATGCCAAAAAATGAAGGCGGTCTGGGCTTAAGGAAATTATCTGTTTGGAACACCACCTTGAATCTGAAGCTTATTTGGCTCATGTTCTCTAACAGTGGCTCGTTATGGGTGGCTTGGCAGCATTACCACCACGGGCTTGCTTCTATTAGCTTCTGGGATATCAAAGCTAAAAATACCGACTCTTGGTTTTGGAAATCTCTTCTAAAATTAAGGAGCCTGGCCAAAAGATTCATAAACTGCAGAATTGGAAGTGGAAACATAGCTTGGTTCTGGCATGATGTATGGACTCCTTTTGGTCCCATGTTAGAGTTTTTGGGAGATTCTGGTCCTACCATACTATGGGTTCCTAGGAATGCGAGAGTCTCTGCGGCTTGCACTTTGGAGGGTTGGAATATTGCCTCTCCACGATCTGATCAGGCACTTGCTTTACACATCTACTTGTCTACTATTCAATTACCAACTATTTCAAATGAGGATGATTCTTTCGATTGGTTAATTGAAGACAAGCCGTGCGGTGGTTTCTCCTCGAGTAAAACCTGGGAGATTCTCAGACCAAAGGCTCCTGCTGCGGACTGGGCATGTTTGGTTTGGTTCAAAGGTGCCACTCCAAAGCATGCGTTCCACATGTGGGTAACAAATCTTAACAGGCTACCCACCAGGGATAGGCTAGCTTCATGGGAACTTCAAATCTCCACTGACTGCTCCTTTTGTGTTGGCTAAATGGAGACCAGGGATCACATCTTTCTGCATTGCACATTCGCTCAATCACTATGGAATCTCAGCCTCGCAAGATTGCGTTTGGCTCCGACTGTATTTGCAAACTGGGCAGCCTTATTGGCTTGGCTAAAGGTCAAGAACACTAACTCGCCTCAAACACTACGACTATTGATTACCCATGCTCTAGTCTACGGGATCTGGAGGCAGCGAAACAACCTGTTCCACAAAAATATTTCAATCTCGCCGCTCACCATCTTCATTGACATTGACCGGCAAATTATCAACTCAATCACAGCTAGGAGGAAGATGAAGAAATTCAAAAACCTTATGGCGCTTTGGCTCACCTAATGGATGCTCCTGTTTCCGTTTTCTGAGAATGTTTATAATCTAAATGTAACCTTGTTTTTTATTCTTTTTTGCCAAGGTTCATTTGTTCTAGGTCTTCTATTGTAACACCTACATTTCATCTAATGATATTTACTCTCTTAGCAAAAAAAAAAAAAAAGGAACTTTTTAAAGCTCATTTTTCCCAGTAAAGCTTTGAAAATTTTGATTTCACAAAATTTTATAGTAAAACTCATTTTAATTTGAAAACTTTTTTTTATCAAATATTATATTAAGAACTCGCCAATACCTATTTTGTTTAAGAAATTACACATATTTTAAAAACAAACAAAATATACTAGATCAAGTTAAATAGAAAAAAAAAGTTAACACTTATCGTCACTAGATTTGGGACACATGAAACGTTATTTTGCGAGAGACCAACTACTACGTTTTTTTTCTTATAAAAGGTTTTCTTTTTAATTGCATGGAAAAGAAAGATATTTTACAAGTCTCAAACCATGCTATAAGGAATTGATACTAGGATTTTTACTATCAATTACCCTAATATACTTTCATGTCATTGCAGTATAAGAGGTTATCAATCCAATCAGGTGCTCTCACTATCAATCAAGATATGCTCAGAGATAACTAAGTCAAGCCAAGCAGAATAGAGGTTTGTTTATCTAACAATCCTAAGCGATCATGCATAAAAACGAATAAACTACGGAACAGGAATGAACATGCATAAAGAGAAACAACTATCAAAACTAAGCAGTAATAAGCAAGCAGGTCGAGTAGAACACAGAAGCTAACAGAAACGATAAACGAGCAAGCAATAGAGATAAAGGGTCCTGAGGAATGGGATAATCGATTATAGCAGTCTCTTTAGTCTATCCAGGTAGTTAACAAACTCAATCAAGCTATCCCTAGATAATAGATTCGAATACAAATCAATCCACTCTCGTGACAGAGATTCTCAAGCTAAATCACTTTCATACTCAATTCTCATTGAAGAAATATAACCTAGCAGGCATTATGATTCAATCTAATATAGTCAATAAGCATTCTAAACATCCAATCTCTTGGGCTAGAGTATGCAAATCTCTGGAAAAGTTTGTTCAGACATTTCATCAAACACCTTGTGGGCGTGGAAATGTCTGAGATCAATTTCCAATTGATCAGAGAAGAAATAGCATTAAGATCTACTAAACCAGAAGGGAAATCAAGCAATTCTACACTTAACCACCTAAATATACTAAGGATTCCACACCTAATCTAACCCATCCTCAAGAACCCTAATCCACTACTCAAGAACACAGAAGAACATCATGCATAAAAACCCAGAAAACGTTTCAAACCCATAAATCATTAAAAAGCAAGTATGTTATAGATAAGAAGGAGATCTACAACTTTGATGAAGAAACGAAATTCAAAAACTCAAAAATTCAAAGGGAAAAACGATTACAAAACTAGGGTTTTTAGAGAGAGCAGCGGAATATCTGCTGGGTAAAAGGAATATCCCCTGGACAATAGCATGTACCCCTATTTATAGGAAATACTAGGTTGCCCTAATTAGCTACAAGACAAAATAGAGAGTCGGCGGAGACCAACTCGACGTGACGTCGAGCCTGCCACGTCGAGTCCATGTGATCTTCAAAGGTGGCGCCTTGACGTCCAACTCGACGTGACGTCGAGTCCGTCTGGTCGAGTCTGCTCCCTGGTCATCTTGAACGACTTCAATCCTCTCCAACTCGATCTCAAGTCTAGCTCCTTGGTCGTGTTGGTTCCTCATTACTCCATTAAGTCCTAAATAAGCTCCAAAGTACCTGAAACTCATCCAATATGCAACATGCTATGCTATGCAATGCAAATCGTACTAAGCGATGAATAATGTTTTAAAAAGGACTATTAATGCAATGAAACAGAGAGAAAACTAAGCTAAATGTATAAGAAATGTGTGCTAAAAAGAGGTAAAATACAGAGATATCAGGAATTGCCATGGAACATCAACTACTAATAGTCTAATACGTTGAAGGCCTCTTCACTGTAAGGAATTGCAAAAGTTCAGGTCACCGATCGTCTCTTGGGCTAAGGTAATCTGGTTTCGAGAGCATGTGCCTCGGTTCTCTTTCATTACTTGGTTGGCTATGCTCTCACGTTTATCCACTAGAGACTGATTGAGGAGATGGGGCATGAGTATCCCAGCATCATGTGTTCTTTGCTCAAGTGGTATAGAAAGTCACGATCATCTCTTTTTTAGTGTGCATTCTCTCTCGATGTTTGGGTCTTAATGGCTGGAAGTTTCTTTCCCAATCCGCCAAATAAAATCGCTGCTCATAATCTCCCTACTCAAACCAAATTCAAATCCATCTTAAAGCTCCTCCTTCAATCTGTCGTCTAACACTTGTGGAAGGAACGGAACAGGAGGATCTTCACCGCTGTGAGCTCTACCGCTGCTTCTCTCCGCCTCGCCATCCACCGTTCCATGTGTGATTGGCTCCTCTCCTTCTCGGAGCCCAACTTGCACTCTTTGTCCCTCCTTAGTCTATACTTTAGTCGTTTCTCGTTGTAATTTTTTCTCTATTTTCAGTCCTTTGTTCCTGTCATAATGGGTAGCTTTTGTAATAGTTTATTAGCTTGCAATTTTCCTATGGAATGAAATCTTCACATTAAAACCAAAAAAAAAAAAAAATTTATATTAGCATTCTCATAAAATTTTAATCCAACTAATGCTTCTTCCTCAAGTTCATTTGCATAGCACTGAATCACTGACCATGTGAAATTAAGGCTAAGCTAATGTCCTAAATTCCATTTTAGATATCTAAGACTCAATCCAAGAGTTATAGTCTTTCATCATTGAACATTGACCGTTAATAAGTAGCAATCTAACATTTGATGAACTCTACAAGCCATGCACCAACCAAATTATACATTATGTGACCTAAAAATAGCTACCCTTTGCAATATTGATTTCTAATAACTTATCTGCACCACTACTAATACTATCAACAAATGCAGTCTTTGTGAAGCCACCACAAGTTTCTCCACATTGAAATTTTCATATATTGACAATGCCATGTACTGAAAACTACATCATAGTAAAATCAACATGGGCTTGTAGAATTTGATTCAAAGTCCATTAACACAGTTATAGTGATGGAGCAAAAGGCCTAAAATAAGCCCACCAATTGAGCACTACCAATTCCAGTACCATGGTGATTAAAAATAAACTGAGCTACCATGCACGAGAAATTAAAGAAGACAACTAAAACAAACGAAACTTTAATTTGAACAATTTATAGAAGAAATCATACAGTCTCTAAATTATTAAGAACCGAAAATATCTATAAGTACATATGTTTTTGACTTTCGTTTCCCAAAACAACATTTCTTTGCATCTTTAAAACATCTTAAACGGTTAAACCTAGTGGTGGAATTAGTATGAAACCATCTTAACTGGTTAACCCTTTCAACTAAAACAATAATAAAATTAAAATAGAAGCATCATATCACATATACATTTAAGAGAATTAATAAAGTTTCCTATTAAAGCAAGAAAACATGATTCAACATACCATCTCATACTCGTCAACAGAAAATGTTCAAAGGCCAAACGCCAAAACCAATATGTGTTGGTACAGCATCATGAGCAATCAAATTTGGAAACTCATTTTGTTGTTTTCTCAATAGATTGGTTGCTCATGATGTTATAACATCTACTAATTTTTTTGGCTGACCCAAAATAAAATAACGGAAAGTGAATAGTTCACTGGAGAGTGAATCCCAACGCCGGAGCCCAATAGTCGGCGCCATTGTCGCTGCCAACTTGGAGTGTGCATGAGATTGGAACAAGACAAAGTCCCCTACTTCTTAAGTCTTTCATCGGTTCTTCGTTAGGATTTGATTTTTGATTGTCCGTCGATGACAATGAAACTCCTCTTTTCATGCAATACTCATTCACAAGCTGATCAACCAAATCAGAAAAGATTTCTTTAGCATAGATATTTTAAAATATATATATAAACTGTGCTCTAGTGTGAGTATTGGTTACAAAACGGGTCGGCCTACTTCACAACAGACCAAGTTCTTTTGCGGTGGGTTGGCCCGTACTACTTGTAAATAACATATATATGGATAGGATAACCTAAGATAGTTCGTGAATATTTACTGTTTTATACACCAATCCGCGGTTTTAATACCTTTGAGTGTGAGTAATATCATTAAGTATTTGATTTTCTGAATTTGAATAGCGATAAATTTTGCAATGAAAAACATTGCTAAAATTTTCAGTTACACTAGTTAATTCATTTGTGGGACAGGTAAATATAAAACCATTTGTGGGACAGGTAAATCGTGATATCTTGGTTTGAAAAGTTGATTTAGATCGATCATTTGCCAAAAAAAACTTTAGTGACCAAAGCTACTTTCATGAAGGAAAATAAATATAATAAATAATTTAAGTGGCTTTTCTAGGTTTAATAGAGGACTGGAAAGGAAAGTTGGTAATGTCATCTTTTTATTTTATTGACCATACTTTATCTTGGTCATTTCACTTTTGAGAGAACAATAGTAGAGAAAAAGGGTAATTTTTTGGAATAAAGCTGGCAACTATTTTTTTTAATTAATTAAGATTTGGGTTTAATTGATCCAATAAAAAGTAGAGTGTATAAAACTAGAAATGAACAAAAATATGTGCGTACCTGACCAGGGTCCTCAGGAAATATACCATTCATATTTCCTTGTGCCTGTATACACATAATTACAAATTAATTATAATTAGCAATCAGATACATTTTAATGCCCCATTATATGAGTAGAAATTACAGTATACATGGTACTAAGGTGTATGTTAATTTAATACTTACATGTTGGTGGTGCATCATATTATTCCTCGAGGGAGTAGCAAAGTATGGTAGACTTAAAGCCTGTAATTTTGAAAAACAAACAAATTTTTTAAAGACAACAAAACTATATAGATTTTAACTACAATTTTAGAGTCAAATTCAAAACTAATCTCACAAAAGACAGTCGTTAATTCATCAATGCTATAGAAATAAATAAACCTAAGCTAATGGCTTCATCAGTAAATTACTATTTAATTATACTATGAAGTTCTTATAACTATAAAAAATCCAAATAAAGAACAAAAAATAACTCCAAAGAATCCACACTTGGGTTCACACAAGATTGTTTTTGTTTTAGTTGTGAGGGAAGATTCGAATAAATATTTGTCTTGAACTAAATGAAATAAGAAGCATGGTAGTTTGGAAAAGACAAGTCACCTCAATTTGACTGTGGAGGAATCTAATGTATCCAATAGCCTCCGACAAGACAGAGGCTGTGTCAGTCTGAAATAAAAGGGATCAATCAACCAAACAGTGACTAATATAATTCAATTTTGATTTAGAAATTTGATTATCTTAACCCAGTGATTAGTAAAGGGAATTAATCAGTAATTATACCTTGCCAAAGGGAGATACTAGCTGGTGAAGAGATGCGATTCTGCCTCCAAGTTTCTCCTTTCTCACCTTTGATAAAACAAGAGATCATATATAAATATACTACATGTGGTCATTTCGTTATTTAACGAATGTAATTAGATCTATGAGCCAAGATCCAAATAAAAAAGAAGAAGGACAAAGGACACATTTTGATATAACTGATCAAATAAAGATATATTTTGTTACAAACATAACAATATCAATTTAGACAGAACAAAATAAACAGAGCAAGAAGAAGAAAACATAATTAACTTCAATAATTTTAATTTTAAAAGTTTTGTTAGAAAATGAAAGCTGAGCTAAAACTGAATCAAACTGAAAAAACAGATTTAGTTTCTATTTTTCATTTTAAAATAAAAACTAACAAAAAAGGATTGCGTAACTACCGTTGAATCATAGGAAAGAAAGAGAAAAAGAATAATGAGATCAAGAAGAAGAAGACACATAAGAAAGACAAAAATGTTACAATCACACACACATGCAGCTTATTCTGTGCCCATTCTCTTTTGTTTTTTTCTACTTCTCCTTTATGTTTGTGCATTTGTTTTGTTATTTAAAATGTCAGCAATAGATAGAAACAAAGACATATGGATTTAGTTAGTTACCTTGAGAGTTGATTGTGATGAAGGAACTTGAAGTTTTGGTTTCTTATTTGCAAAAGAAGACCCAATAATCTCTGAGCTATTACACTTCATGACACACAGACAAAAAAAAATAATAGAAATATTCATATGGAGAGGTTACTTAATCTTTGGTAAAGATTAAATATTGATCTGATGATATATAATTAACTATTTTAACCCACCTCGGACAAGTTAGGACCATTGTGAATGTTATTGTTGTTTTCTTCATTGGTGTTGTGAATTGTATCACAAGACTTGTTTGGAGGTGAGTTTGGTGAGGCCATTATTCTATAACCATTAGTATTGTTACTCTCTTGTTTCATGGAAGCTTGGTGCCTCAAAACTTGTTCTTCCCAATTCTGTATCTTCTTCTCTTGGTAACTATGGTGTTGATTTTGAAGATGATGATGATGGTTCATCATCTCCATTTTCTCTTCCTCTCCCATCATCAATCCACCCCTTCATTCAAAGACGACATAATCTATATTAAATCATGTTTATGTATATGCAATAATATAAGTAGATTATGTATATATCTACATGGAAAAAAAAAGGAGAAAGAAACTTCATAAGATCGAATTAAATTACAAAACAAATCCAAGAACTCAAAACCAAGAAAACATCCTACGAGAGACAGGGAGAGGGATAGAAAGGGAGTTACAAGAGGAGTTGACTAAGGTTCCATGGCTGGTCAAGAGGCAGATCACTCATTTCAAGCCAAGAAGAGAAGTTAGGGTTACTATTAGGAAGAGGCAAAGAAGGTGAAGAAGAAGATGAAGAGGAAGTTGGAGAAGAGAAGGAGGTCGGCAAGAGACTTGGAAGATAAGGAGTTGTAGGCGGCGGCTGGTGACTCATAAACGGTGGTGGTGGCCTCAAGCCGCCGCTGACGTTATTCCACCAATTAGGGTTTCCAGCCGCCGTGAGGTGTTGAACCGGCGAACTCTCCAACACTCGTCTATTCATCGCCTCTCTTACTTTCTACTAAAAGAATATGAAAAGATTTTGAGATTTGTTGTTTCTCGATGCTTTAGTTTTTGGAGAAAAGGAAAGAAGAAGAGAGACAAACAAATTGAGCAATCGATAGATGTCAATGATGATTTTTGGATGTATTTAACACCATTCTTTCTTTCTCTCTCTCTCTCGCTTTTTTTTTTTTTTTTTTTTTTTTCATTTTTAGAGTTTGGATCTTTCTTCTTCTTTTTTTTTCTTCTATAAATTTGGATGTCCATATGGACCATATTCGATGTAAGTTACATCATGTAACGATTAACTAATTTTGGATGAACGGACGAATAAGTTTTCTAATTCATGAACACAATATTCTAGTCTTTACGATAATCTATCCATAAAACAGATAAACCTAAGTTGTGTAAGTTTATGTAAGAATATTAATTACTAGCTTAAGAAAGATTGTTATAATCAGTAATTCATTTTTCTATACTTCATTTTTTTTCCCATGCTTTAGCTTTATTCATAAAGTAAGGGAGGAAAAGGTGCTTTTGTTATTTCATCGAATTATGGTTTTTTTTTTTCTTTCTAAATCATAATTCATCGAATTATGAGCTGAGAATCAAGATGCAAAATTTTTTAAATAGAAACAGAAAAAGGGGGTTATATATTCGAAAACTTTTTTATACGGTGTATAACATATTCGAATATATTACAAGTGTTTTGCATCTATGCATATTTTTTTTACATGCGAAATATCGTATGTAATTTAAACCATTTTAATTCCATTTATTTAGTTTACTTTTCTGTGATTTAAATACTAACTTTTGTTAAGGTAAGTTCTGATAATTCATATATTATTTCTTCATCCAACCAATGATATATATAATTTCTTTGTTGATGGTGACTTAAATGGATCAACATGCGTTGCGTAGAGTTTTATACGTACCCACTTAGCTTTAAAAAGGAATTTCATTTAACAAAGCTTATTACGTTTAAATGAGTCAAAAGTTTGCATGACTCTTCATTACATAGGATTATCAAGTTGTTCATAAACTTTTAAGAAACATATAAAAGTACGTTCTTTAATTTTTTTTTTTTGGGGGGCAAATATTACGTTTTTTTTCTTAACCGAAAAAAAAAAATCAAAATTAGCTGTTGCTCTCTCACTACAATAAAAAGGCTAGGTTGCATCACTTAAATTGCATCAAAAAGTTAAACGATACTAATTTGAGTTACTTATTAATAATTGATACAAAAAATATAATTTAACATCAATTGTTGTAACTGATGCTATTGTTAATTTATGTGGCATCAATTCATTAAAATTGATACAAATCTAGATCAATTTGTATCATTTTTACATATTGATACAAATTTATAAATTCACATCATTTAAACAATCGATGTATTTCTTAATTTATATTAACATCACTTGAAAAATGATATAATTTTTAATAAGTTTACACTAATTACGTTAAAACTAATTTTGTGGTTTAACATCCACTGATCATGCATCCTCTATTTATTACTAAATCTTTAATTACACAAAACAAAATTTAGACGATCATAAAAAAAAATTCTCTTTTCTTTTTGAATTTTTTCATTGGCCGCCTCTTTTTTTGTTTCCTCAGTTTAAAATCTTAGTTGGAAATAAAATATCTATTTTCCTTTTCACCAAAACTAAGTAAATCAAAATACAAATCTCTCCGGAATCTTAACTTCTTTAATCTACAAAATCTACACTTTCTTTGCCAAATACAAATATCTAAGATATATATTTTTTTTGTTAATAACTTCTTCTCGCCAAGATGATTACTTTAAGAAGCAGAGGTTTGGTGGCTCGTCTTCTTCGCAAAACTGTAGGTCACTTAATGTTCTAAATTTTGTTTGGGTCATTCAATTTACAAAAGTAAAAGGCTAAAAGCTACTCATAGAATAAATCTACGACCACAAGAGTTTGTGGCTTTAGAAATATGTGTCTTTTCAAAGATTAATTAGAAGTTCTATTTTGTTATCTCTTTGATTTTATGCTGATCTTAGGCTGATCTCCATACTTATTTTGTGCTGTTTTGATCCAGTCTTTTATCATCAAGGCGTTGAAGGACCCGGAAAGAAACAGAAAGACGGTTAAGAAAATAAAGCACACGGACGATGATGTTACTGAGGTTGCTAGGATTATGAGGCCCATGAGGATCTGACCGTGAGGATCGTGAAGAAGATTTAGAGATGCATGGGATGCACCATTGATGAAAAAGACCCAAAAGATTTTTCAGCATGAATTAAAGGATGTGATCGAGATTGATATTTCTGAGAATTAATTAAGGAACAAAAGTAGTTTATGGTTTTAGAGTTTGTTTTTGAATTTTCAACAATGTAAAGTTGTAAACGTGTAAACGTGTTTTCTTCCATGAAATTAAGTTTTTGTTTTTAATTTTATTTTATTAATATTAAATTTATATATTATTATTTTATTGAAAATGATATCATTGCTATATTTGTTCATCATGAAAACTGATATTAAATTTAAAATCAATTATTTATAATTGATAGAAATATTTAACATCGATTATTACAAATGATACAATTATTTGTATCAGTTATCAAAAATGATATTAATCTTAACATCACTTACTATAACCGTAACAAATAATTACATCATTTTTATTAACCGATGCAAATTTAACATCGTCTCTTGCAAATGATACAAAACAACATCAATTATAATAATCGATGCAAATATTTGATGCAACCGATTCAAAATATTTGCATCACCACTTTCAGAGTCACTTTTATAAGTGATGCAAAACTTATTTGCATCATTTATAAGTAATGTAAATATACAAAATAAATGACACAAAACACCTCTTTTTTTGTAGTGTCTTGATATCATTAATTCATTGGGGAATAAAATTCCCTTTACCAAATAAACCATATCATCGAGTATGTGATAAACTTACATACATTAAACATATAAATTGGTATAGAGTCTATATAGACTTCTTGATAATGTGATAGGTATAATTGTCTACTTGATTGTGTCAGATATATACATTAAAAATATTGGCGTAAAAAGCATATATTCCTGGAACAAATTCATAGATATATAGACATAAATTTAAGCAAAGTTTCCATTTCAAAGCAAATTGTTTACAATGATTCCTATAAGATAAGTTGCTTAATAATTTGTATTTTTGTAGGATATTTATCAAATATAAGAAGAAAACAAATTGTATCTTTGCTTCTTCTGTTGACTATTCTTAATGGTTACCTCTTTTAACTTCATGTAACTTAAACAAGTTTATTTTTTGGTATATTAATAAAGCTTATCCATTATCATTTTTTTTTCATTCCAATATGCTCAAATTATATGTACTCTTTTTTTTTTTTTTTGAAAAAGAATTATATGTACTCTTTGTTCATACAACAAATACAATGCGGCAGGGTCATGAGCGAAAACCGTGGGAACTTTTAAAGGATCGGCTTCACATAATCATTAAATCACCATATATGCGTTTTTTTCTTGTAATTTGAGCATGTTAGGGTAGGAAAAATCACTATCAATATTTAAAATTACCTATATTATGCACCTCTGGTTTATATCGAGGAAAATATTTAATCCCAAAAGTAGTACTATGTACTTATAAATACTTGTTTTCCCACTCACGCAGAATATGATTAAAGCATGATTTCATGGTGACGCATTCAATCTCAACTAGAAGGGGAAACGGCGAATTTGTTTTCGTTTGCAAAAAAAAATCACAATTTAGTTTTCGTTTTACACCAAGAAGGCAACATTTCTCGAAGGAATCAATTTCTAGGGTTTGGAGATCCCTCTGTCTCTCCAAAAAATGTTTTTTACAGGTATAAACTACAAAAAAAAAAAAAAGTTCAAAATTATTTATCTTAAAACTCGATTCGTTTTGATAATGCCGACCAACCCCAAATCTTGATCAATTAGAGATTTTAGTTTTAGCCCTAAAACTTATAAATATATTGGGCCTCATTTTATTTTTCGTGTAGGGTCTCACAAATGCTCGGACCGGCATTGATAAAAGGACGCATGGTCTAGGTTTATAAGGCGGTATTATTTTCCCGTATCTCTTTGATATGATAATGGAAGTCTTTGCCGACCTGTTATACGCTAAATTCAGTTCATGTTTGTTTGATTTTTAGTCAGAAAATTTTTTTTGACGTTATGATCTTTTTCGATAAAAAAAATTTAATTCGTTCCAAGGTCTAACCAAATCTCGAATTTTGTTGTACTATTTATCTTGATCAGTATACAGAAACTAAAATCTCTTCATTCAATATTTTTTATTGGTTCTCTCCCAATCATGATTTTGGTATGCACTTACTTAATCAAGTACATCTACATTCAACAATTACACTTTCATTTTAAAGGGATTGCAATTCACTACTTAATTTACTTCAGTAATCTATAACACTATAACCTTTTTGTTATCGGTTTTCACATCCAAAGGTTTAGCTTAAATCCATGAAAAGGCTTTACAGTTACTGTATTGTGGCAATATTTCAAAGCATACATGGTTAAATTATAGGTTTTGTTGAACGATGTCTATCTCCCTAAATTTAAAAGTTGGATTAGTTCTTATAAACTCTTAAGTAACTAGCTAGTGCAATATATGGTGGAGTTTTATAATGGAAATCTTCTTAATAAACATGGTGAGCTTGGGATGTAAAAATTAATTAATGTCAAAAGTGAGGTAGAAGATTAACCTAGTGAGACTAGTATATTAAATATTGAGAACAAAGGTCTTAACTTTTAAGGCCAAGGGGAATGATGAAGAATGAAGCATGCTTTGTCCGTACAGTCCAAAGATCTTTGTCGGAGACGATGTGTCGTTTCTTCTCAAATTATATTCTCTTCCTTCACTGTCTTTTTATGTTGTGTTTCATCTTATCTTATTTTCTTTTCCTTTCCTCACTCCTATTTTATTTATTGAATAGTATTCCCTCTGTTCCTAAAAGTTTGATGTTCTAGTGTTTTGCAAGTTCCACAAAAATTGATTTTTTAGATTTTTTCTTTATATTTAGTTAATTAATATATATTAATAAATCATAGATTTCAAGACGTAATGATTAACTGTTTCAGATTACTATTGGTTCATAGTTTATTAAAAAAATATTTAATAAAATTAAATAAGTAAACAATAATTGTTTCTTAAAATATATGAAATCTCTAGAAAATCAATTATCTAGGAAC